CATCAGTGGCTCTGCTTCCTGCTCCCCTGAGGAATGTTCCCCTGCCCACAGGAGAGGAGCAGAGCAGCACCAGCAGTGAGGGTCAGGAATTTCCCTGGGTCAGAGCTGCAGAGTCCACACAATGCCAAAGGTAAGAGTCTCACACAAATCCCATCATTACCAATACCAGCTTTGCCAGAAATGGAATTTACTTTTTCCCTGAACTGGATCTTGATGTAGTCCCATCTTCTTGTTTATGGGGAAATGCAGTTCTTTCTCAGAAGTGCTAGGAAACTTTCCCTTCTCCAAACACAGCTGCACTATTACAGACCACATACACAAGCAGCTGATTTCTTGGGTTCAATCAGYTCTATAAATCACCAAAGCCAGGAGCAAGAAATTGAGGAKAGCATTCTATGRAGCAGCATGTTACACGTGTGCACACAGGTGCACAGGCACTGCCTTTCCTTTTTTAAGGAGTCACACACACAGTTGGAGCACAGACCTCTTGTCCAGTCATAACTGAATTTAGCAGTGCACTAAATGAGTACATTACACATCTGGAACTCTGTTATCCATTCTCTAATCCGTTTTCTATGGGACCTATTCTAAGACTCTGATCTTTTGAACAGCTTCCAAAATTCATSATTAAAATAAACGTGAATAAATTACAAAGCTCCAGGCAGGGTAGTTTCTGTCTCCTCGCAATGGAATRTGAGTTTTTGAATCCCCAAATAATTTCTCCTCTTCTCTCACCCACCCACTGCTTTTTCCTGAAGCTGGGGGCTGTCAGGGCAGCCACCTCTCCTGCCTGTCTGGCTTTCATCTGGCCAAGTCCTCCAGCAGGCTCAGTGAATACAAAAAGCCAACAAGATCCAAACACAATGTTAATTAAACAGCAGGAGGTCTGTTAGCTCAGGAAGATAAATTTATCGACTACAATTTGTAGAGAGCAGTGCTTARGAGACATGTTTTCCACAGGCAGCAGAGATTACAGTGCTTTCTATACCTTCTCCCCTCCTTACCGTCACAAAAACATCCATAACTCTGGGGTTTTTTAAACTAACTCAAGGCAAAAAATATATCCTACTCTTAAATTCTCAGCTCTTTCTCTGGCAGAACTGTACAAACAAGCACCCTAGGTAGCACTCCTATATTTTCCAATTTWTCACACCTCATAAAAGAGCTCAATCATTCCTTTCATTTATCCACAGTGAAGGAAGGTTGAAAATAACTCGTGCTTGACTCCTAATTGTCTGCAGGACAAGAGAATGCACCCAGTGCCTTTTGGAGCCTGGTGAGAAGCAAGTGTCACSCACTGACTGCCCCCAGCAGTGGCAGCAATTGCCATYTCCTGTCACACACTGACCCTGTGYCCACTAAGGGACATTTCAGAGTGTTCCACGGTGTGATGTGGCTCACACAGCATCAGRCCCACAACACTGCCCAGAGGGGAATGCTGCTTTACACCCAATCCTCAGGGCAGCTCATTTGCAAGGCACATCCCTTGTTGTGCCCATGTGAAAGGGCCCTGAGAGTTGTGCAAAAGATCCCACATTTCCCTATTTGACTGTCACAGCAGCCATTCCAACACACAGAGATTGCTCATTCCAGGCTCACCCAGGACATGACTGTGCCTCCATGGCTGTGCTTCCAAAGGGACACTCTGAACCTGTCCCTAGGAACACAGCTCTACTCATTCCCCCAGCACTGCAAATTTCATTTGAAATAGGAACATGGCTCCCACAAACACGATAAATCATAGGGTTCAAAGCCTTCCCAGCCCTTCGAAAGCACAGATAGATTTCATTTGAAATGGCACACAAGGACATGCAGAAGGACCAAAGCCAAGCCCACCCTCTGCAGCCCCTAAAGCTGGTGTGCAGCTCCTTGCAGAGGGCTGTA